GAAGTTATTATTCAGAAGCCATTGATCAAAAAAGTAGAAACAATGGATCTCCAACAAACATCTAAACATTCAAGAAGCAATAATAACTTCTATTCCCATTCGCATTCCTGTGAACTAGCGCTCACGCTATTGAAGGTAAAAAAAATGGCCGTAAAAAAAATATATTCAACATGTAATCCTGTAAATAGATATATGTGGAAATAGAGATGGCAGCTAACCGGTTTTAAAATGAACTGCGGTTATTTTCTTTCATAATGAACTTTTTAAAGATACTAATATTAGGAAGTGATGCTCTTACTGCATAATAATAATTCTGCCCGTCCTAAAAACAAATTCCGCATGCATACTGTGCATTAAAAAATTATCCTTTTTCAAAAAAAAAACGAATTTACAATGACACGACCATTAAATAATTGTTGTTGTGATTATTTGATTGTGATTTTTTATTTATTCCTATTACAAAATAGGAATTCTGAATATTTAATATTTAAGTTACACCACCGTTAATATTACTATTACGTAAAATAAAGCATATCCGTGATTTATAATAGCAACATATCTTTGACAGAAAAGAGCTTTAAGGTTTTTTAAATGTGCAGGAAAACGCGAGGTACATAAGTAAATTATTATTATTATTATTATTTATAATAGTGTTTTCTGTTTTAAGTTCCGTGATTTCTGCGGCATTCTGCGCTATGCAGAAAATCATAGTCTCTGGCAAAATGGATATCGTTTCTAAGCCAAAAATCTTCATTACATGCATATTAACTCCAAAGTCATTTTAGACATTTTCTCATTTCTATTGAAAAAGCCCATATAAATAAAGTAGATCATTGGAAGTTCATTCATTTTATTTCAAAAACTTAAATTCTTTGTGTCTTCTTCGCCTTGTGGTAACAGTAAACCATAAAAAAGTCGCCCATTATAGGTTTATTAAGCCAAAACTGGGTATCATTTATCTGTAAATAATATGAACCTGTATCTATATTTTTTGTTATAAATCAACATTTAGTTACTATATACTTTAAAACTTTACTTTGACTTACGTTTTCTATATATAATTTAGAATATTCTGAATACAAAAATGTCACCACTAATAATTTACATATTTATGTCGCACCGAGTCCTATCCTTGAACAGTCAATATATATATAATTCAGATATAAAGGGATGAATTTATTGGATAAGCCCATTAATCCATAAAAAGTTAAATGATAAATTAGTTCAAATTAAATTCTTATTCAGTAAATAATAAAAACACTCGTTATTAATCTTAATAATCGTGCATTCTTATCCCCAATTTCATTTGAAATTTTATTGAAAAATAAATTTCCTTGAGGGATTTTTTTTTATGTTTGACAATTTACTTGTATTTTGATAACTAGTTTAGTTCCAGTAACTTCTTGAATGTTTAGATGTTTGTTGGAGATCCATTGTTTCTACTTTTTTGATCAATGGCTTCTGAATAATAACTTC